AGGAAGCTAATGTTTGATAACTACTGTGCAGCCAATATAAATTATAACCAACAAATTACAACTGAACATATTCATTTAGGTACACATTCGAATTTAGTTGAAAATGTTAAAATCGGTCTATTCAATTATTATGCAGAATAAAAAAAGGTAGGTGCGTTTTTAGGATGTTCTATTAGAACTTAATAACTTAATTTGAATGTCTATAGATCACTAATAACGTGGATTAATGAATAAATGAATAACTGTAAAATTGTGTAGTTATTTAAATAGTTTCAATAATATTATAGCAATTTATTTAATTAAAACTATGTATGAAATATACATAAAATAACTCATAAATAAAAACGCATTCTATAACGAACATTGACCGGTTGTACTAAAAAGTGAACCTGTCCAGAAAATGCGTTTCCTACATTTTTCTCAATTTATTTGTTAATTCATGGACATTGGTAGTTTAAAATTAAATATCATAACTATCATGTATAACTATCACGACTATTATTAGTGTTATTAACATTAATCTGTTGTAAACGAATTTAACTATAATTGTAGTTATTAGAGAACAAATAAAATAAAAATGATGGACCTCTCCCCCTTCCATAAAAATTCCTGGGTCACTCCTGTAATAAGTCGTTGTTAATTACAATCGTATTGGTGACGTTCGTATAGAATCGTAATCGAAATAGAGCTTACGGGTCCTATTGGCCAGTAAATGTGTACCTTTCGTGATTAAGACCCCCGGCAACCTAACGCGAATAGCTCTTAACCGGGTCGAGCACAAATGACGGAACAAGCACAAACGATTTTCGAAAACGTCGAGGTGGAGGTTCCAGGGACATGCAGCAAGCGCGTACGACGATAACAGGACGTGGCCGATACAAAAGAACGCCGGCCGTGGTCGTGGATGTGCACGGTTTCGCGGGGGATTTTTAAACCGCGCTGCGTGCTAGCACCGTCCGAGACGGCTGCACACGCGTACGTATTCTAATTTCTAATATATTACGGTGCGTATAATGTATTCTAATAAAATCGTTGTAAGTTCGCGTGTGCGTGCTGGGACGCGGGAAAAACCCGTCGCGGAAGCAGCGTGGAGGGGAATACGAACAGTCGGCGGCGACGTTTGGCCTTGGGTGGTATGCGCGCTGCCAGGCCGATCGGCGCTTGGTCGTGTGCGAAAACGTGCAGTTCGGTGCTGGTGCGTGCGTGCGGGCGTTTGCTTGTGCGTGATCTCGGTGCGGTACGGGTATGGAACGACGGTAGGCCGTCGGCGGCGGGAGTGGCATTGAAAACGGCCCCGGACAATGCCGGATCGGGGCCGAGGGCGGCGTAGTAGAGGGAACGGGTTCTGGTTCGATAAACGTCCTATACCGGCGCGGCGGCGGTGGACGCGGCACACGGGCCTATTCGCGAAAACGTAGGCCGCCGGTCGTCGTCGTCGGCGGCGATGATGATGATTATTATTATTATTATGTCTTTTTTTTTTCGCGGTCGGCGGCTGGTTTTTTTTTTTTTCGTCCATCGGCCCGCCGTCGCCGACGCCGCCGCGCCGTAAATCGATTTCTCCCGGCCGCGGCGGCGTCGTACCAATGTCACTGCTAACCCATTACCACCACAACACTACGACACTGTCGTTTATTATGTATACCTACGCACGCACGTCGTGATGCGTAAACACAATATTACGCATGCACACGAAATTACGGTCTGTACGCTTCCGCGCGCTATACCGGCGAACGTTTCCGTGAACGGCGAACTGCAAACAATACAATGTATCATACCTAACCTAACCAACAATCGGGGGAGGGGAGGGCTCGGAAATATACAGACGCTAAAAATTAACATTTTTAGCGTTTCAATATGCGCTTATTGAATGACTAAAACAAGTGCTAAAATTAGCACTGCGAATCGAAAAATATGCAAAATACGATTTCCCAATAAAAATAAATAATAATACGGCACAGTGTGATTGAAACGTTAAAATAACCAAATTAATTTTTTCGGACATGATTATAGCCGCACCATTTGGAAATCAAATAATAATTATATTATTATAGTTAATTATTATTGGTAAAATACAAGTCCTAAATATGCAAAAACATAGTCACGAAAAAATTTTATCCATGTAGTTTGAAACAAATTTGTTTCTTACTTAGAACGTTCTAAGTGTCAGTAAAAATAATATGCAAATTCTAATGTTTCCGAGCCTAGCCAATGACAAACGACAGAATATCACACGTCCATTTCCCCCCCCCCCAAGTCAAAAATTTACATTTTTTTTTTTACATTACATTTGTAAAGGTTTGTAAAAATATGTAAAAATTTTCGTTTGTATAGAAAATCAAAAAAAGTTATTCGCATTTCAAAATGGGGAAGGTTAAATAACTATAATGGGGGGGGGGCTGGGGAAACGGACGTGAAATACGTCCATTTACGTTCCAAACATTACCTGATAGCAAAGCCACTCCTAAAGACAAACTAAATTGATATTAAATAATAATTATAAATATTATTATCAGTGCTCGTCAGTTCATGCATTTGCATGTTTATTTTGTAACAAAAAAAAAAATGCTAATTGTAGTATACATCATATTTTATCACTCAATACTTCTAAAAATCCAACTAGCTCAATTAAATGGATTATTTCTATGATATTTTCGAGACGCAGTTAGGTTTTCGTTACTTTAAACCTGTTGTCTAATTTGCAAATTTTAACACCTCTCCAAAAAATACACCATTGCGGGACCACTTCATAATCGATTTCATCTGAGCCACATGCGAACGTAAAAATGATTGCTGGAAAGGTATGCATGTTGCAACACAAGAATCCGATGATGGCTTGTGAAAAATAAATTTAAATTGTTTACTATTTTCACCTTTTATTTTAATAACGTTTGTTTTTTATCGTATTACAGGACCATATTCAAGTTTCATAGGATGAACTTTCATGAACCCTCACCAGAAAAGCTTCTATTTAGGGTCAGCTAACCAGAAAAGCTAATAAAAAAAAGAAGCTTACTCGGATTAAATATACCCATTACACCATAGGATTACACCATAGGTTAAAATGACAATACATCTAAATGGTCCTATATCGCAAAATTATAGTAAAATTATCTCTTCAATACGTCAATCGACTAGATTTAAAACTTAACAGAAAAGTTCTTTAACATACGAAGCACCTAATACATTTGATTGGAACAAGTCTTGTGCAGATCGAAAACTTATCCACAAACAGAAAAAATTCATCACAGAAAAATCGAATCTAAATTCTAGCAAAAAAAAAAAAACTATAATTTCGGGGACTTGGCGCCTTGTCACCTTTGCTATTTGTGTCTATGATTATCGCCGTTTCGCGAACACAGACTAATACTTTAAACATATTAGGGTGCAAAAACTCGGCTGAGAAAAATAACTCATTGCTTCCCGTCAACTGGTTCGCGGCTATTATTTTATATAATATAATATATGTATACATTATAATATTTTAGATGCGGAGCAAAACAAGTGATCTATTGGTATAGTGAAACCAATAGATCACTGTGTGTGTTTTTTTTTTTTTTGGTGTGTGTAAGCATTTTTTCTACTGGATATTTTGTTCCGATAGATAAGTGTAGCACCTTTTCTGAAAGGAAATTTTGTTTAGACGGTACATTGAGGAAATTGTTTTCTGAGTTTAAAAGGGGTTTTGAAAATAACTGGGAAAAATCGGAGAAAAATTATCGGAAATAACGGCAAATATTTACAGCTTTATATTTATTTGATCGTTTTATATTTTTGTAATCTAGGTTTATGTTTTCTACCAGAAATATTACTATAATCAAAAAATGCAAAATTTCTTTTTTTTTTTGTTCTTTTTAATATACATATTGATGAAGAAATGTATTTTTTGATATCAAAAGAAGTTTTAATAACAATTGGGAAAAACCAAAAAGGACGAACAATACAAACGATTTTTTTCAAATTACGACTTGGTGATTTTATTATTTAAAATGTTTATGATTATATTTTTCTACCAGAAACTTTTGTCCAAATTTCAAGAATAACATATTTTCTGAAAAAACATTTTATTTCATTTGTGAGTAAGAAAGTCGTTCGATTTTTCGTATAGTTTTCTTAGTAATTTTTTTTTAGTACGTATCTGTTATTAAAATTATTTGACTTAAAAGAAATGTTTGAAAATTAAACACAATAGGTACATTATAAGTTGTATTTAGTGTTCTAAAAAACAAATTTGAGTTTAATACTTTCGTTTTATTTTTTTCATAAGCGTTTTTAAATTAAATTTTGATGGAAATCATAAAAATGACGGCATTTCAAATTATGTTTTAGTAAAATTCGATCCGAATAGTTTTTTGTTAGCAATGGTTTACCGTTATGTACAAATAAAAATTAAATAACTTTATACATTCTACCTTCCCAACTTCTCACCTAAAACAGTGGCTGCACCCATCTTCAGTATTAGTTATTTTTTCATTTTTTTCCGTCGAGTTTTTTACGCATGTACGTTTTTATTTTTCGATGTATAAAAACAACTTTGTGTATTCGAATTTAAAAATAATAAGTAAGATTTCGAAATGATAAACAGACCGCATGGTATTGCATGGAAAATTTAACGTATCCCCTATAGGTAGAACAAAAACCGACCGCCAAACCGTATAATACTTATAATAAAATTCAGGCTCATGGGTGTCGTTAAAGTTCAAATTCTGGGGTAGCAAAAAAAAAGTTATCTACAACAAATTGACATTGCATTTATTTTTAGAATGTGAAAAAATTATTTTTTATAGATTTAATCATAACTGTGTATAATAAAAATGCATATGTATATTTAAAATTTTAACTGAACTTTAAATAATTATTTGAACTGTTAGATTAACTAAAAACAAATATATATATTAAGAAAACATTAATATATTACATATATGAGTACTCAAATATTTATTTTAAATTAATTCGGCATTTATTGTCAGCACAAAATTCGTCGATAGCTGCATTTTTATTTACTTCTTTAAGTTACTTCGATTTATTTGGTCCATCGTTGTTCTTAAGTAAATTTTTAGTCTTCTGAGGCACGAAGAGCTTCTTTCACATGATGCGCTGTTCATTGGTACAGTCAAAAATAATTTAAATACATCTAATAATAGAGAAAAATCACTCCAAAATTCAACTTTTTTTTATGTATAATAATTTATTTTCAAAGTTAACTTCTTTCTTCAAACTGATAAACATTCTATTGAAAACAATTATTTTAGACATCAATTCATTAACATCAAATCCATATACTGCACGTACTTCCTGAATATCAGATACATTAAGATTCTTATTAACTAAAATGTTGTTTATTGAGTTTAAAATTTTTAAATCATTTTCATTAAACTTGTCTTTTATAGCTTGTGTGATTCTGTCAAGAATTAAATAATAAATTTCTATTCTATAAAATTCCTTGATATCTTTAAATTTTGTGTAAGTTAAATTATAACCAATTTTTTTAACTGGTAAACTTCTTTTGGGAGGCATCTTAGGTTATAATCATGATTATTGACTATCTTTTGCATGACCTTCCAAATGTCATTAAATGATTTTTCAGAACGATACCCATTTAATTAATTTAGTTCATTTCATGTTAATACATAATAAATGTTAGTATAATTAATTAAAACACAGAACAAAATAAAATACTTTAACAACTTACCATTGCTGTTAATTGTATCTTTGCCAGGAGATTTTGATTTTTTAATGAAATATTGATGTCATGTTTTTCTTTGTTTTTGTTATTTTACCCATACTGTTTTAAACAGAATAATGACGTGTTTCGAAAACTGATAAGTAGACAATAACTTATTGACTTTTAAAATTTTAAACACGAGTTCAAAATTCACTATTTACACTGATACTTAAAATTAACTATAACTCAGTTTGCCGATGTATGTCGTATTGACTATCAATATTATGTTATGATATTGATAATTCACAATTTATGGTGATTAATGAAATTGTAGGTATAGAACACAAAAGTAATAATAATACAGAAATAACAAACCAAACAGCTCACAAAGAAAAAAAAATTGATCAGTTAACAGTTAACACACTATCACAAAAGACGTCCTATGATAATGGGGACGGGAGCAGCCTGTAAGCAACGATAAACCATTGTTTACGAAAAAAAAATTCTGAGAGAAGTTAAGTTGATATTGATGCTTTGTCAACAATATATTTGTCATTTTATAGTAAAATAACTAAATTTCTAGCAGAAAAGTTCCGCACAGAAAAAAAGAAGGTCATAATATATTTTAACTAATACCATATTTCTTATATATTTTCCCGTTATTTTTTTTCGGTTTTTCGCATTTGATGAGAAAACTCTTGAGAAAATCGAAAAATGACGTCCCTTAGGTACCTCAGAAATCCGAGCAAGTCTTCTGGTAGAAAAGTTGCGCACACATAACAAAAAAAAATATCTTTGTAAACCATAAACATCTTCGCTTCACTCAGAATTTAATACGCGCGAGTTTGACGTTATATGAGATTGATAACAAGTATGACGTATACACTAATCGTCCGTATTGGAATTATCACAAAATATTATTATTTTGGACACAATCACAATTATAATGGCGTGCGCAGAGTGGGCTACACCCTTTCCCATTTTCTTAAAAATACAAAAACTACAGAGTATTTATTTAGTAATTTAAACTTGAAATGTATATATTATATCAGTAGAGTCATAAAGAAAAGCGCGATTAATTAAATACAAATTTCAAGATTTTTCGGATCCAAATTTTATATTACCATTGTCAGGTTTTATAATATAGGTGAACAGAATATTTTTTTTATTCGTGAATAAATCGTATATTGATATCGTAGTATTATATTATTTACTTTATTTCCACCTATTGAAGTAAGTATAGTTTTCTCGGCCCTCGCACTGGCCGCACTGTTTGGGCATATAACAATAATAATAAAATTATTAAACTGTCGAATATTATGTGGAATGTCTGTACACGCGAATATTTGGTCGAATAACAAATATAATTTGAACACCAGAAATAGATACGATTTGATTTACACCTAGGACAATAATAATATAAATTTATGTTTAAACAATTCTTAGTTCAGAAATCATATAAACGAAATGTTGAACTATGGAATATTATATATGAAAACTGTAAACCGAAATAAACGTAAGCGATAATGAAAAATATGTATTATTATCGACTTAACTTAATTTTAAAACTAAATATATAAAAAAAAAAATATATACATATAAATATAGTACAGTTTTTATCGTTTCAGTATAACCTCTATTTCATATTAGATATACACCATCTCCAATTCCTAAGTATAATGTATACTTTTTTGGAAAATTCAAAACGAAAGCGCACTATACAAATAGATAGGTCCTTAATTAAATATAAAATGTCCGCCGTTAACTATACGCAATATTATATTATCACTATGACTTTATAATAAAAATTATGAAAATATTATAAAATATTGTACAACATGGAGCACTTGTCCAATCAAAAAATTATATTGTAGTCCAAAGAATCAGTCAATTAGTATTGAAAATTCAATAAAGATATTATATTACCTGGACAATATACAAACAATATATATTAATATTTAATTTATTACGTGTTACACGATATACATTTTTATCGAAACATAATTGTTTACAATATTACATAATGTGTTATATTTTACGTCACATTATGTACCATAAAACAATTATTTTATGGTACGTATATAAAAGGTACCTACATAAGTTATTTTAATGTATGTTCGGGTTACAATAACATCGCGAATGGAAATTTAATTAAAATATGAATTATTACAAAAAGTTTAGAAAGTATAAATTGATAAGAAAAATTAAATAGACATTAATTTAAATAAAAAAACGATTAGAGACGTCCTGGCTAGCGAGGATTTACTTATAGTTTGTATTAATTGTATTTATTGAAGAAAAACTAGTGTGTTGGATAAAGAATGATAAATTGGTATCCAATTCTTTAAAATCGAAAATCCTTAAAATATTTACTTGTCTTATTGCATTTATATAAAAATATACAATTTCCGAATGCCAACAAGAGATAATTTTTTATTGCATGCTTATGGTCATAGACGCAATATCATTGAATTCAAAATTTAAAAAAAAAAAAACAAACGAATATACTTCGCACGGTAGGTGGGCCACTGCTGTAAAGGGAGAAGTTGGGAAGGTAGAGGTGAAATTGAATGTCTATCTGTACGCAAAGATTAATCATTGCTAATGAAAAACAAATCTGAGCAGAGTTTGGTTGTACGTCATGTTTTAAAAGGCGGTAATATTTACGATTGGAAAATAATTATTATAAAAAATCTCTGAGAAAATCAAAAAATGACCTTCTCAAAGTACTACCCTAGTAAAATTTCCTTTCAGAAAAAGTGCTTGACAATTAATGCAAAATTCCTGGTAGAAAAGTTGTTCAGAAAAAAAAACATTATAAAACTAATATATTTCTCGCTCCTCTCAAAATCTAAAATTTGACTGCGTAAATTGCGAACGAAAAATGTTGGACCTCCCACAAATTCGATTTTTTATATGCATTTAAGATAAAATTCTATATAATTCAAAACTGTACTAAAGAGTACAAAGATGTTTGACATAAACAAATCTTTACCTACCTATAACTAAAACTAAAATGATTAGCTCATATGATAACGGTTTACTTTCACCATTTAAAAAACTTTCGTCCATTACTGCTTATTTATCATACACACGATATTTTTTTTTTGTATACAAATTCACAACATTATTTTTCTTATGATATAAACGACTTAATGTTCAAATGTTAATAAAAAAAAAAATTGCAACTATTTCTTAGTAGGTTGTCGAAATCGCCGTATTAATGTATTAAAGTATCATTACAATTATTATTAGGTATATTCATATGTTTTGTTTTGTTTTTTTTTTTTATTACCTAAATCAGCACTTTTTTGGAATATCGCCAAATCATTGACTAACACATTCCATGTGTTTAGCAGAAAGATTTCTTAAAAGGTAAAACTGACGTCCGACAAAAATACATTATTTCCCTAACCAATAAAACGCGTCTGGGTAAAATTTATATCTCTACACCGGTTTATATTATTCATTACCTATAGGTATTATACTAAAATGTGTATCTAAGAGGTTTACTAGTTGAGTTTTTATTTTTCTACTAATGACGACTCGTTATTTATTTATATTAATATTTTACCATAGGTTTACGAAAAGGTATACAAAATGAATTATACAAGTAAAACGCTTGAGCGGCTTGATTAGCTTATATCATGGAAGTCTTGTAGACCGTGTATAATAGTGTATACTAATAGCTAGGTACATAGGCGCCAAGTTTTCCAAAAATAATCTAGTACCCTGGGCTAAAAGCTCCAAACCCTATTCCTATTAAATAATAGAGTGTACAGGTTGCAACCTTCAATTACTATTTGTGCCTTTTTATATCTAAATATAGACAATTAATTTTCGTTAATATGTTACTAACTAGTTTGTATAATAATATAGATTATAGTTATTAATATATACTCCCGTTTCAGATTCTGAACGTATCTAGGAATGTATATGTTTTTTTCTGCCTTTTTACAATTTATTTACCAAAAGTATAGCTTCAATCAAAAAACAATTTCTTGTTAGATTAAACAGCCATTCCATGATGTTCTAAAGGAATTGCATAATAGTTGGAAAAAGCCGGAAAGAAAATTATAGACAAATAGCAAATATTTTTACGGCGCACAGAGTTGTGTCGTTACGATTTCATTATTTTATATTTTCAAGATTTATGTTTTCTACCAGAAGTCTTGCTGTAATCGAAAAATTAAAAGACACCTTTTTTATTAAATTTTAAATCTTGTTGATTATTATAAAAGGAAAACTTTAATTTTCCAACAAATTTTCACAATAATTGAAAAAAAATATTTTCATCAATTGAGTAGATCTGGTTTAAATTAATCGATATTTCATATGGTTAAAAAAAAATAGAAGCATATTTAATGACAATATTTGATGCGTAATTTATATGTTTAAGTACAAAATTAAGTACATAAAAATAAGAGCTATTACTGATAATGGATGCGTCATTATTCAAGTAGGGAAGTTGGAAGATAGGATACGTAAAATTATTCAATTTATATCTGTAACCAAACGATAAACTATTGCTAACGAAAAACGACTCGGTGCGATATTCGGTTACACATGATTTAAAAGATCGTAATATTTACGATTTTCATCAAAATTTGATTTTCAAACCCACATAAAAAAAAAAAAAATACTACATTACAGCTATTACAAATTTTCAAGCATTTCTATTCGGTCTAACAATTATATCCGCATATTTTAACCTACCAGATAAAAACTATGTTAAAACCTCGAAAAAATTAAATGCCTATAAATAGTTAAAAAAAAATAGCCAAAATGTTTTAGACATTTTACTAAGTTTAGAAAAGGCAAATATAATATTTTTGTAAACTTTCTAGCAATA